GCATAATCTTTAAATAAAGGCAGAAAATCCTCTATCAAAAATGGAGAAGGAGGTCAACACACATTCTGAAAACAGATTTTGCACTGGGTAGGATCCAGCCTGGATGCTCCACACAGACATATCCCATTAACAAAGATGAGACCAGTTTTTCTATATATATTTTTATATGTATATTAAACACACACAGGAATATATGTGTGTTAGAATCTGTCCCTCAGAATCAACTGATTGAAGAGCTTTTCACAGGAGGAATGTTTGTAGCACTTACTGCTCTCCGGGTGTTTGAGCTTCAATCAGAAACTATTAATAAATTAAAGAGCAAGCCTTTAAGACAAAAAAACCAACCATATTTTTGAGTATTTGACTCAAAAATCCTGGTGCAAGCAGTTTGTGGTTTCAGCGTGGACTATCACAGGCAGCCAGACCCAGCAAACCACACTTGGGATGTCGCTCCTCTGAGTAGCTGATTGGCCTCTGTGACAATCCCCTCCACCCTGCTCTCCCCCAAAGCACCAGGGATGGGGATTCCTGGCTGCTCTTCCTCCTGGGAGCCCGTTTTTCCAGCATGCCCTCCACTTGGAACACTCACTGCTGCAGCCAGGGAATGCTGGACAGGGATGCCTTTGGAGCTGTGCAGATCCTGCTCTCCCAACAGGAGAAATCCAGTGGGAATCTCCTGCCAGGCAGAGGGTTGGGAAATGCCTTTGTCCGGTGCATCAGAGCCCTGATTCCATCCAGCAAAGCCAGCACAGCCCAGACAGCAGGGACAAAAACCCAGCTCCCTGCCAGAGGGGATGGGAATGGGAGCACAAAGAGGAGAGTTCCTGCTTTGAGAACAGCCTTAGAAATCCACCTGGAGCTGAAACAGGCTTCCTTTGCAGGACACTGGCAGTATTCCATGGAAAGCAGGGGCCGGGAAGGTGGGCTGGGCTCTGAGCTCAGAGTCAGGCTGAGTTTAAGGGTCCATCAGCAGGTCTAGCACCAGGATTTTGTTACCCATCTTGCACAGTCTGACATCTCTGGCTGCCAGGGCCTGTCAGTTCTGTCTCAGCAATGTCCCTGTGAGCATGGAAATGGGAAACAAAAACCACAGGAGATGCCTGCGGGTCAAGGTCTGTCTCAGACCGTGAACATCCTCACAACCAGGCCCTGCTTCTCCCCCTGCCATTCCAAATGTCACCAAAAACGATGTCTGAGGTGTTGAAACACCACAGATCTCACTTTATGCTTTCTATTTTTCTTCCATTTGTCAGAACAAAAAAGCCTAGACTTCTGTTGCAATATTTAAACACATACACAGGTAGTTGCTGTAATATCAGACAAACCAACCCAAAAACATCCAAAAGGCCCATTTTCAGCCTCTCTTACAACCAAGCTGGGCTGGATTAGCCCATTCCAGCCTTTTTGCAGGCTCTGACTTGTGCTGATTTATTCTCCACACACAAAATAACCCCTTTGAAATGTGGCACAGACCATGTAAGTTCTTTGCTTAACCCCATGGAACTTTCCAAGGATGGCAAACACTGTGCATGGACCTTCCCAGCCACAGGTACAGCAGGAATTCCTACAGGTCTCAGACATCCCCCCTTCAGGGTCCACAGGGATAGTTAAGGGTTCTAATTACTGTTTCCAGGCTTCAGAGTGTTCACAGGGACAATCCTCACCCCACCCTCCCAGGATTTATCCTTTAATAGCAGCAATCTTTTCACAGAATTTCTTTTCTAGAAATTAATCAGTGCAATTTTACTTGGAAGAAAAGGAAAATCCACCTACACTGGTCTAAAAAAACCAAACCAAACAAACCCCTCCATCATCAGCTCTTTCCAATAAGATTTAATTCCCTACCTCTGTTTTCATGTTTAAATTTGTCCAAAAGAATCAAAAGAAGGATCCTGTCTCTCCCCTTTTCTGAAACACTTGGAACATCTCTGCATATATTCCCACTTCTTCTTAAGAGCCAATAAAGTGGATTAATTTTTTGAGGTTTATAAGTAGAAGAAAAGCTGAACAGAGACTTAGCCCCCCTCTGGAGCTCACACAAAGCTTAGATTTCATGAGCTGACTTGCAGCAGAAAGTGTCACAAATACACCTCCTAAAGAATGTTTTTCAAACCTTATCTGGGAAGGTTTTGCAGAATAGGCCTCAAACACTAATTCTCTTCACGGGCACTAAAGCTGTCCTTGCAGCTGGGGAGGAGTGGGGCAGGACTGCTCAGGGGAAGGGGCTGTGCCCTGCCAAGCACAGCCCGGGCTGGGCTGGTTGGAACATCTGTTTGAAGGCTTTGGGTGCAGAGCTGCAGGTGAAATGCCAGAGGACACATCTCTGTGTGACCCACACACACAGGGGGGATCTGCCCAGCCCACACCAGGCAGGGCCCAGCAGGGCAGTGCCTTCAACCCCAGAACTGTGGCTTTAGCTTGTTCCTCTCAGCTCTGGAACCTACAGCTGCCAGGGTGGCAAACACCCCCTCTGTATTTGCACCAAATCACAGATATCCAAAAGCTTCTACATTTGTGTGGATTTAACCTCAATACCAGAACTGCCTGTGTCCATGTGAGCAACCCAGGACATGCTGCAATGGCTGGACACCAACTCTGGAAGCACATCCAGGGTGAGTAAAGTCAAATTTGGTTTTCAGGCTCTTTTCCCCTTCCTCCAGGGCTTTTGGCCCGACCCAGCTGTGTCCTGCCAAAATCCCTCCCCACTGCCCCATCATTCCATGAGCTATTTCACACCTCCACTGGGGTCTCATGTGGAGCCAAATCCAGGCAGACACTGCAGGGCTCCAAAGCCTGGCGGAATGGAATCTTTCCCTGGACACTGGGAGAGGCCCCGGGATGTCAGGGGGAAAGTGTCTCCCAGGGCAGGAATGATGCTCAGCTGTGCAGTTCCTTCCATACCTTCCCAGTCATTGGATCCAGATGCCACAAGTTTCTCAGCTCTTTATGGATCTGAGAAACAGGGACGTGGACTGACATGGGAGAGGGGAATCCCAGGCTCAGAGCAGGGAAGACTGGTCAGGGGAGTACTTTAAAAAAGAAGAAAAATAGGGAAAAAAAAAAGAAAAGAGAAAATACAGGAAAAATAAGGAAAAACTGAATAAGACAATAGGAGAAAAGGGAAAGAGGAAAAAGGGAAAGAGAAAAAAGGAGAAAAGGAAAAAGGGGAAAGAGAAAGAGGGGAAAGAGAAAAAGGGGACAGAGGAAATGGAAAGGGAAAGGAAAAAGGGAAGAAGAAAAGAGGAAAGAGAAAAAGAGGAAGAGAAAAAGAGGAAGAGGGAAAGGAAAGAAAGAAAGGGAAAGAGGAAAATGGAAAAAGAACAGAAAGTAAAAATAAAAGAAAAAAGGAAAAAGACAAGGAAAAGGAGAAAAACAGGAAAAAGAAAGGAAGACAAAGGTGGCTGGTTCTGTGTCCAGTCTTTAAAGTGATGAGGCCAATTTCCAGTGTTTCCATTCCAGTTCAGCCAAACACTGGAGGAGAAGGGAAGGGAAGGGAACTTCTCAGGAGCTGGGCCTGGGGCACAGGGCCTGCAAAGGAGGGTTTGCCTTCCCCAAGAACTCACCCACTGTCCCCACACACTGAAACCTCTGCACTGCACGCTCACAGACATCCTGCAAAGCATCCAAGAGTGATCCCAAATGGGAGGGCCTAAAACATACTGACATTCCAATTTCCTCCAATCCCTGCCAAACCCCTTTCCCTGCCCAGCTCCTGGCTGGGGCACAGCCCTGTGCCCACCCCTGAGGCTGCTGTGCTGCCTGTCAGCCTGAATGCTATGTGAGAAGGGCTGGGTTTGTGCCAAAGTGGCCACAGGTCGGTCAGAACAGTGCTGGAGACACTCCCAAAATGGCAATTCCGAGTGATGTCCCCTTCCAGCCTCTCCTCCTCTCCCCAGGGCACATTTCTGTACCTGTACACACGTGTGTGTGTGTGTGTGTGTGTGTGCCACTGACACTGCTGGGGTTCAGCTGGGCCAGGCTGCACCTGCATAGCACAGCAGGGTCCTCTGCTCCTTGGGATGCAGGATCCTCTGCTCCTTGGGATGTTCTACTCCCCAGGATGCAGGATCCTCTGCTCCCCAGGATGCAGGATTCTCCTCAGCTCTCACAACAGCCACTCTGTTCACACAGAGCCAGGGCAGCAGAGCCTTTCCACTGCAAATCCCCCCATCTGTGTGTCCCAATGCTGGGACAATCCAGCAGATTCCCAACCCCACACAGTTCAAATGTAGGTACCACAGGTGTGCCTGTCCCACACAACTCCTCTGAGCACCTGAGGCAGCAGAACCACTGAAGGAGCTCTGAAAAGGTGACAGACACCCCAGTGATCCTGGTAATGTTCCATACCCAGTGATAGGAGGGATGCTCAGGAGGTGAATCATGGACAGAGCTGCTACCCTAAAACCAGGAAAAGGACCAAACACAGGCATTAACTCAGCAATGAACCTGCCACTGCATCTCCCACCAACAGTGATTCACTGAGCACATTAAAACACAATCACCTGTCATGGAGCACTTTACAAACTCACACACATCAGGAGATGGGGAATCCATGGGATGGAGCAGCAGATTTATCTGCCCAAAGCATCTTGACACCACAGCACAATTCCACACCAGGTGTCTGGAGACATCACTGGGAGCAGATCAAGAATCCCCATGTCCTGTGTGAACAAAGCACTGCTGGGATTCTCCCATCTGGGGTCACTGGAGTGTCTGGGTGACCATGGCCACCCCCAGACTGCCCTCACACACACTCCTGTCCCTGGGCTCATCCCAGGAAGGATTATTTCCTTCCCACAGTCCTTTTTCTCCCCTCAGTGCTTTGCTTTTCCTACAATGAGCTGGTGGCACTACCACAGGCACCATCTTGGAGCAAGGGAAGAGCTGGAAACCTCCCCACAGCACAGAAAGTGTCACATCCTGATATTCCAAGGCTGTGCTGGCAAGTGGAATGAAACACAGGCTGTAAACAAGTTGGGGGGAGAAAACATGGCATTTACCTGACAGCAGATCTGCACCAGGTAGACCAGTTCTTTGGAGTCACAGCCATTCCTCGTCACTTCGTTCTGTTCCTCCGGGAGCGAGAGCTGAGCCAGGGAGAGAGGGAGAGAAGGAGCAGGTCAGTGAGCAGGGACAGGCCAGGCTTGGGATAACACAGCAGGCACAGCAGCCACGACATGCTGAGCAGCAGGGAATCAGGGAAGGGCTGGAGCTCCAGAGGGGAAACATTGAGCATTCCCAGCTCACACAGACCCTCCAATGCCATTGGGTTGTGGCACCTCACCTGACAGGTTAAAAATAAAAATATGGTTCAAAAATAAAACAATTACAGGGAGGCAAACTGCTCAAGCCAGGGATTAAAGCTCCAGCTTAAGAGTCTGCAAAATTAATTGTTCACTGAAAATACCTCTATAAATATTCATGTATCAGATAAAAGTGCTTCCCCTTCCCCCCATTTTATTCATTTTTTATTTTATACATTCAGGCAGACATTAGATAATAAAACATATCTCCTAATTTCAGTGTTGTCAAGCAATTCACCCCAACAGAGAATTTTATAGCCCCATTCATCACATACAGAGTCATTAACTGCAACATCAGGATGTGCCTGTTTGGGAGCAGTGAGAAGACATTTAACTGTCTCATTCCTGCACATCTACTGAGCCTTGAGCACTCTGGTCCTGTTACTAGTCTTGATATCCCACACTGAAAATGGCTCATGGTTAATGATCTTCTCTGAAAACAGAAATTACAGATGATCATAAGCAAATTAAGACTGTTTGCAAAGCAAATAAAGGAAATGTTTGCAAAGCAAATAAATAAAGGAAATGTGTACATAAAACTTAAAGTCTGTAAAAAAATCCTAATTAGCTGAGAGCAAAAAAAAACCACCCTGAAACAAATGAAAGCAGAAATGAAAAAAAGACTGAGGAGAATCCCAAGTTGCCATATTTAATGAGTGCAAGCAAGGGAAAAGGAGAAACGGGTGATGAGAGACACGAACCTCCTGAAAGGGACACAGGAGGCAAAGTTCTCTCCCATATAAACAACCACAACAGGATGAATGAACTCACTTTTCATCCTGCCAGTCCCTCCCTACTCTCTGGGAGGAGTTCCCAGAGCACACCCATTCAGCCTCTTCCTTCACCAGCCCAACTCCCTGAATACTAATCTTCTGATGGCCATACACAGATTTCTGGGCCAAATAAAGCTTTTAGATTTGTACAATTTATTATATTTTTACACCACTAAATATATTCAGAAACGTGTGCAAATGCTGACCACTCCCTCATGCTGGTGGTGCAAGTAAAACTTCGTGTGGTACTGCTTTTTGGGAAGCAAATGCAACTTTTCCATCAAACAATTTATATCCTAAATCAAGTGTGCCCGTTCCCTCTGCAGCCCAGCAGTGCAGAGCAGCTGAAGCAATGGCACCTCACCAGGGACACTCCTCAGCCTTGGGCTGAGGCTGCCAAGGCAGGGAAGGACATGGGAAGTGTCAAAGCTCTGGGGAAGCTCTGGCAGATGAAACCACTCAGTGTCACCTCCATCAGGGTATATCTTTACTCCCTCAGAAATCCTCCCCCCAGAATCCCCAGCCACTGTTTCCTCAGCCACTGCTGCAGCTCCTCCTGGGCCTCTTTTCCCTCCACACTCATTTTTTTGTCTCCCAGGCAGTCTCTCCTTGCACCCATCCCCTCTCCCTCCTGCAAGGCTTCCAGCAAGAGCTTGAATGATTTCCATGCTCCCTCCCCCTCCCAGGTTGGTGTGAAACACAGTCCCAGAGATAAATCTTAATTCCAAAGCATCTTAATTCCACTTAAAAACTTCATTCCAGGAAGAGGCAATGGGAAAGATCTGTAAGAGTGACTTTCCTTCGTAAGAGGGTGGGGATTCCTGCCATTAATGTGATTAAACACAACCATTAGTTCTGTATTGCACCTTCCATCCAACTTAACCATCATTCTTTGCTGTCAAATGTCACATTTGAAGTGCTACTGAGTCTTGAAACTACAGTCAAATTAAAAATAACAAAGCAGCCAGGAAAGGAAAGCTAATCCATTCTGGGGGGATTTTCCATGCTTGCCAGGTAACACAGAGCTCTGCTTTAATTAGGGCCACAAAGGTGATCAGAGGGCTGGAGCACCTCTCCTATGAGGAAAGGGTTAGGGATAGAGAGCTGGGATTGTTCAGCCTCCAGGAGAGAAGGCTCCGGGGAGACCTGAGAGCCCCTGCCAGGGCCTAAAAGGGCTCCAGGAGAGCTGGAGAGGGACTGGGGACAAGGGATGGAGGGACAGGACACAGAGGAATGGCTTCCCACTGCCAGAGGACAGGGATAGATGGGATATTGGGAAAGAACTGTTGTCTGTGAGGGTGGGCAGGCCCTGGCACAGGTTGCCCAGAGAAGCTGTGGCTGCCCCATCCCTGGCACTGTCCAAGGCCAGGTTGGACAGGGCTTGGAGCAACCTGGGCTAAGTGGGAGGTGTCCTTGCCCATGGCAGGGGGTGGCACTGGGTGGCCTTTAAGGTCCCTTCCAGCCCAAACCATCCTGGGATTCAATGAATTGTGGGTTTCCCACCCAGAGAGAAAACTTTCCATCCTTGACTCTCCCCTGTGCTTACTGAGGGTACAAACACCTCCTCAAGGGAATTCCAGGCCTTGCCTCCACTGGGTGTATCAGTGCTTACACACATCCCCACAGGCTCTGCTGTGCTTTGCCAGGCTCCATTCACCCCAAAAACCAGCAGCCAGGTGGCAAAACTACTGATGTGCAAATGCAGCAGCTCCCTGAAGACATTCAAGGCCTGGTTCTGTACAACAGGGTAGAGAAAGGCACGGGGCAAGTGAAGACACAGGTTGAGTTGCATCACCCCCTCTAACAGGCTGATTTACACGAGGTTGGACCTGAGTCAAGCCAAGCCTGTGCACAAACTCTTCCGAAATAGCAGGTGAATCATCGGGGAGGTCCATGTGTGTGGGACACGGAGTTACAGCAGCTCCATTTAAAGCCCACACCTGCCTGAGCACCGACCTGCGGGGGCACAGCCACTGATTTTACACCCACAGTCTGTCCCCACTGCAGTGCTCCCATGTCCCTGCTCAGACAAACTCACTGTGCTGAGAAGTGACACTTAAACCCCCTGTACCATTTGCAACTGTCTTGTTTCAGAGTGAAGCTGTAAAAGCCAATGAACACAGTTCCCCTCCCACAGCAGCTTTGTGCTGACTGAGAGACAGAGAGAGCTGCTTACAAGGAAAACCCCTTGGGTTTATCCTGTGACACAACTGTCCTTGCAGCAAAATGAAATATTCACTCGTGTTCCCTATTCCCCATGTGGCTTAGTTTGTGTTTTGCTCTGTCAGTGGACACACATGAATGCTCTCTCCAAAATCATGGATGCCCTGATGCTGAAAAGCCTTTCCTGCTGCTGCATGCCTTCTAAGCAGAACATCCTGGAAAGCACAGCTGCCCCCAGGCTTGATTTGAAACCCAAGCACAAAGCACAGGCCTCTCCTGACCTCAGTGGACTCTAAACATGACTCACGGGCAGAATGTGCTTGGCTCCAAAGTGGGACATGGATTTTTGTGTTCTTAAAGGACAGGGCAGAGAGCAGGTCTCGAGGATACCCCTGTACCCATCCCAGTGGGGATCACTGAGACAGCTGGAATAATCTGTAACCAGCATTTATGGTCCCTGACCAGAGCATCAGACATGACACTTTATGACATATCATCTGAAATGTTCCTTTTTCACATTGAAAATGTTGTCAAACCTCCTGAACCTGACAAACAGTTATGATGCATCAGATTCCACTGATTTCATTTATTATGGAATATCTGTGCTTGGCCAGCACCAAGGGATTGTGACTGATTTTAGCAGTGAGATTTAGGGTTTCCTAAACTTTTCAGTGTCACTTTATGACACACAAAGAAAGCCTTAAAGATGGTCCTATGGACACCCCACACTTCACCAGGTGGATGGATAATGCAGAGTGCTGTAAACATTACAGAATCATGGAATCCCAGGATGGTTTAGGTTGGAAGGGACCTTAAAGCTCATCCAGTCCCACCCCTGACATGGGCAGGGACACCTTCCACTAGCCCAGGTTGCTCCAAGCCCTGTCCAACCTGGCCTTGGACACTTTCAGGGATGGGGCAGCCACAGCTTCTCTGGGTAACAATGTCAAGGTATTGTTCAAATTTATCTTTTCACAGCCACAGACAAGTTTGGGAGTCTCCACTGTGCCTCTATGCACACACCCACCAAGAGCTGAGCACGAATTCAACACAGTCAGGTTTTTCTCCACCACCAAACTCACCCCACGTTGCTTGTGCAGGTGACAAATAAGAGCTGTAGCTCCTCAGACAAAGATCTACCAAATGATGAGAAACTTTAACAGACACAATAGCAAAGACTTCCAAGAGCAGGAGGCTGGGCTGAAGGAGCATGAAGGATCTCACAGTACCAGGTTTCCCCTTGGCATTGTGAAAGACAAAACTAAGTCCCATCCCTTGTTCAAATACAATTTTACCCAAAAGAGCTGTGCTTGCTGGCCAAGACTTTACTGATCCTACAGGGAGGACAAGCTTAAAAATGCCTCTAGTTCATGTCTGAGACAAAGAGGCTCAGCTCTGGTAAGCTGGGAGATAAGGGGAGTGATTACAGGAGTCTCCTGCAGAGGGTAATTTATTGGTTATTTCTCCTGCAGAGCAGAACAGCCACAAAGCAGAGGGTGAGTTGTGACGTGGCACATTTAGAATCTCATCAAAGCTCAGTGGTTTTACAGGGCACAAGTGTGAGGGAGCATTTCTCCTCCAGATCCAAACCAAAGCTCTCATCTCTGCTCTCCACAGTGGCTTTGGAAGCTCCTTCTCCCCCTCCAAGAATAATCCTCACATCCAGCATGGAGCAGAGCAGCAGGACTTTGAGAGGCTCATTTGTTTGTCTGGAGCTCCAGGATTTCAGTCTGACTGTGAACCTGCCTGGGAGGCACCAGGACATGCCACGTTCCCTCCCACAGATCCCAGAGGCAGCTGCTGTGGCCCTGTTTCACTTGTCAGTGTGACCACAGGCAGAAAAACAATTAA